TAAAATAATCAATTAAATGTAAGATATTCTTGGAGCTCAAGGAATTTTTTCGGATTAGAGCCATCAAAATTTTCAAAGAATTATAATAAACCCTTTCTCTCTGTTATAAAAAGTTCTAAAGCCCGTGGAACACGCAAGCTTTACCACCATGGCAAATCCGACGTCGGCTTTCTTGAGAGCTGGTCCATCATTGGTTCCATCACCAGTGACTGCCACGATCTCCCTAGATATTAAGACACATTAGACAAGGTTATTCGTATAAGTGTAGAAAATTTCTGCTCGTTCCAAACCTCTGGTATGTGTTTTTGCTGTCGATGATACCTTTCACGAGTGTGTATTTGTCAGCCGGTTGGGCTCGTGCCAATACACGAAGCCGTGGCCAAATCTGATCCAGCTTGGTTTGAGACACTTTGCCGTCAGCATCACGAATTCTACAGAAATTTTTATTATTTTTTACTTTGTTTTAAAAATACGGTGTTTTAAGCATAAAAAATAAACCACCACACCTTTCGTTGAATTCTTTCCCTTCCAACGCTAAAAAGTCTTCACCGGGTTCGAGGATTTTGCAAGACATCGCGATGGCTCTTTAAAAAACGTCGACAAAAAATAATCAAAAAGGAGTATTTATATTTAAAAAACCAATAGTTTCGTAAAGACTTTCCACGCTGCTAAACACTAAATATATGTATTAAGTTTTAAATGGTGAGGTTTATGGAAGTGCTTGGCTGAGCAGATTGCATGTCAATTTGACCTTCCCAGGGCCTAAACGAAGCGAGGACANACGTCGACAAAAAATAATCAAAAAGGAGTATTTATATTTAAAAAACCAATAGTTTCGTAAAGACTTTCCACGCTGCTAAACACTAAATATATGTATTAAGTTTTAAATGGTGAGGTTTATGGAAGTGCTTGGCTGAGCAGATTGCATGTCAATTTGACCTTCCCAGGGCCTAAACGAAGCGAGGACACCGAGACCCTCGTATTTCTCTATCAACGAAACAGTGAATTAGTGATCAATGTACAGGCTGAAAGAAAGTCAGTGGTAGGAAATAATATAATTACAGCACTCGAGACAGTTAAAAACCAATCCTGATGAGACGTTGCTTAAATGTTTCAATGGCCGCTCTCTTAACAAAAAATGACGCTACATGTGGTACGGTTTCCCACAGCCGTCACCATAGGACATCGTCAGCTTTGCAAATCAGGTGGGAATTTGCTATCTAGCGAGTAACCTTTTTTCTAATGAGACGCCTTCCCAATATTGGCGTCCAAGAAAACAAAACTTCCGGTCTGGAAATATCGAACTTCTTAGCTGGATGACGCGGAATGAAGATGAACAACTTTCTTGTAATCCAGTGCGACAGCAGA